GTGCTAGCTCAGGAATGAGGGCTGGGCCGTCAGGGCATCACCCCTCCCACGACCCACCTCTGGTAGACAAGGGTATTCCCTGCCTCCAGAGGTCTTGGGATAAGGATGAGGGATGGACCCAACTTCCTGGGAAATCAGAGGTTCTGGGGGAGTTTGAGTCTGCCTGAAGACTGAGTTCAATCCATAAAGATCTCCCACATGACATGGATTGGAAAAACAGCTGTAGCCTTCTTTGCTTCCCAGACTTGCTGAACGACGCCTCAGTTTCCCCAACAGTGAAATGTACAGCCTACCTTGAACTATTATTACCAGGCTGAGTGAATAGCACGAGATAGGAAATGCTTTTACTGAAGTAAAATGCAGTGAGATGGCAAGAGGCCTTGTGTGGCCATGCAGGACAACCAACAGAATCAGCTGTGCCAAGGCCCTCCTCCTGGCAGAGATGTTTCTTAGGATGAGTGAGTCAGTGTCGGGAATGCAAGGGGGTCACAGAGAGGTACCAGGGAGATGGTGGGAAGGTGGGGGTAGGGGCTGGCTTAGCAGCAGAAGCATCACCTGCTTCCTACTAGCTGACAGATAAACAGGCTGACTGATAGAGTGAGCTCAGAGGCAAGTAGCAAAGCGTGTGACCTCTAATTTTTTATTTTTTAAAGAAGATGTTTGGCTCAAAAGGGTGTTCTGCATTGTTTATGGAAAAACCTAAATCCATTCCCACCCCCCACTTCTAAGTTTACTTCTCTTTGTCTGGTAGTGCTTAGGAGCCCCTGACTATTTTTCAGATCCTGCAACTCAGGCTGCATCAAAAACTCTGGAGAAAGGAGAGGTTTTATTCATTTTTCTTTTGGGAACTAAGAAAAGAAACAATTTGACTCTATCACTAAAGCAAAGCAAAAGGCTCTGCTGGGTGTCACCTCCATTTGGAAGTAAAATGTTCCTCCCAACCCCCATGGATAGCAATCCCTTACACTGCATTGTGGTGCGAAGGGATTAATTAAGCTGGAGCATTTCTTGAGCATTTACCAATTCCAGGCTCTCTCCTTTGCAATGCCACTCTCCACCCTAAACTTCTCCCTTCCCTTTTTGTCTCCCTAACCATGGAAAGTCCTCACCTCCCTGGAGGTCCTCAGAAGCCATTCTTCCCACCCTGGGAGCTGGCTGACTTCCTTCCTTCCCCTATCTGGTCTGAGTAGGGGAGAGAGAGGCCATCTGAGGAATGTTTGCTGGGCCCTCGGGCAGGACCTCATAGGGTAGCCTTTGAGTGACCACCATGGTCCAAGCTTCAATAGGGTCCAAAATCCCAGCTCGTCCAGAACACTCCAAAGTGGCCAGTGTCTCAGGACTGACCAAACTCAATAATGGGCAACTAGCATGCCACTTCCTAAACTCAGAATGGAAGGGACGGAGGCCGCCTTTTCAGTCACTGGATTGCTCATGCTCACTCTTTTGGGGACTTGTTTCTTGGAGTTGGGAGACCAGCAAAGGCAAAATGGAGATCAGAAGGCCACATGGAGAACAGAGAACCAGAACAAGGAGGCAGTAGTCCTGAGCGATGCAGTACCCAGACCGGAGTGAGTCACCTCCTCCATGACTGGAAGGTTCCCCCACTCACTCATTTCTTCATTAACCCAATAGCATTTGTGGTGCACCTACTGTGCAGCCACTAGCTAGGTACTGGGGACACAGTAGCAGGAGGGGAAAAAGCAGTGGTGGGAGCTGTGGAACTCTGCGAGAGACTGTTGAGAGAATGAAAAGACAATAAGCATGTGAAAAGATGCTCAACATCATCATTCATTAGAAAATACAAATTTAACCCACAGTGAGATACTACTGCACACATACTAGAAAGGCACACATACAAACAAAATACAAAAATACAATACCAAGTGCTGGTGAGGATGTGGAGCAACCAGAACACTCATACACTGCTGATGGGAGTACAAAATGTAACCGCCACTGTAGAAAATAGTTTGGGAGTTTCTTGTAGAATTAAGTCTGCAGTGTCTATGAGTATATGACCCAACAACTCCATTGCTGGGTATTTACCCAGAAGAAATGAAAACTTTTGTTCACACATACACACAAAAACTGTGCATGAATATACATGGTGGCTTTATTCATAATCACCAATAACTGATACAACCCAAATGTCTTTCAACTGGAGATAGATAAAAATAAAAATTTAATTAAAAAAAAAACCTGTGATACATCCATACAGTGGAATACAACTCAGCAATAAAGAGGAATGAACTATTGATGCACACAGCAACATGGATGCATTAAGCTGAGTTTAAGAAGCCACACCGAGAGGCAACAGAGAATAGGATTTCACTTATTTGACATTCTGGGAAAGAAAACCCATAGGGACAGAGCACAAATCAGTGGTTGTCAGGGGTTAAGGGATGGGGGGAGGGTTTGACTACAGAGTGGCAGCATGAGGAAGCTTGACACTACGCTTGCTAATAATTTTCATGAATGATGTTATTTAAGCCTTTCAACAATCCTTAGAGGTATGTGTCATTAACCCCCATTTAACAAATGCAGAAACCAAGGCTTGGAAAGAATGTCTTACAGCTAATAAGGAGCAGAAGTAGAGCTTAATTAAGTGAAGGACCCATCTTTATGAACGCCACACTCCCGACCATCCCATTATATGGCCAAGTGGTGGCGCTGAAGGGTGACAACCACAAGATGTTTCAGAACTAGTCATGAATTCAGTCTCTGTCCCTCCTAGCTCTTGTAAGCATCCCCCTCTTTGTCTTTTTCATCCCAAGCCCCTGAGGAACGAAATGATCCTTGAAAGATAATCAGATAAGTAGGCGGAGGATATGAGTTGAGGATTTTATTATAGGTTTTACACATTTCATAACAAGAACTAATCATCCTCAGTGTTCAGTTGTCATTTGAGAAAATGTAAATGCTACATCTGCTCACTGCCTGTATTTTCTTCCAGACAAAAGAACACATGTTTCTCTCTCACAAGGAATTGTGCTTTCTTCCCCACCCTCCATCACCACTAGAGAAACTTTGGGACAAGTAGGGAATGGCTGAATCTTTATGGGCTCTCCTGTCCCCCATAGCTCAGGCAAGCTCCCGGGACTCTTGGGCCCTTCAGGTATTAGGGATCATCGTAGTCCCCACCTCAGTTTCATAATGAGAAGATAAAGTCCACAGAGGAGGTGTGGCTTCATCAAATACCCACTGAGAGCCAGTGTCAAGGTAAGGCTAGGACCACATCTCCAAATTTCTTCTCCAGTGTTCTCTGACCTCCAAGACCCTCTGGAGTTTCCTCTCTAGCTGCAAAGAGGTCCCTAGACTCCTGATGGTGGTCACTTTGAGTCCAGGAGTGCTGAGAACAGCCAGGATGGGTTGAGAGCAGGCCATGGCTCAGGAGTTCAGCAGCCAATGTTTAGCACCACGGACAGGTCAGCTGGCCCATTACCTGGGAGGCTGGTTGCCCAGCAAGGCAAAGAATGTAATGGGAGAGAAAAGTATTGGAATGATCTTAAGAGACTATCTACCTAGTCCTGCCCCCTCATTTTTCATGGGAGGAAACTCAGGAACAGACAGAAGTGACTTGTCCAAATTCACATGGCAAGTCAGTAGAGAGCCGGGGATGTAGGGGTGGTAGCCCATTTCCTCATATTTTTTAGGGCCTTCAAATACCTGGTCTCCATGACTTTTCAGTGGCACAGCCAGAGCTTGAATCGAAGTCTCCTTTCTAGCTGTGTGACCTCAGACAATCTCTTCGATCCTCAGTTTCCTCATCTATAAAATGGGAGTAGTAATGAAACCTTCCTCTCGAGTGTGGGAGCTCAGTGCTGGGCACATTACATATGCAAGATATTATCTTTGTTCTGCCTATGAAAGTGCTTGAAAACTACAAAATGCTTTGCAAATATGAAATACTATTTTTCTGTCCAGGGATCCCATTTCAGAGAAACAAATATATATTTGCTGGGAAAGCGTTTATATAATCAACAAAAATAACAATAATCATAATACATAATTATTTTTATTGAGTGTCTATTACATGTCAGCAACTGTTGGCAACTTGACACACATCATCTCATGGGAGCTATGGGTTCTATTGCTTCCATTTTATACATGAAGAAACTGAGGCACAGAGAGGTTGAATTACTTCCCTAGAGTCACAGAGCTAGGAAGCAGAGCAGCTAGGATTTCAATGACCAGGGTCCAGGACGTCGCTTGTGAATGTAGTACCTTCCAAGATTTGGCCCCTGCCTCCTGGGCAGGCCTCACTGGAAGAGCTCTTCCAGCCTCAGGATGGGGGGTGGGCTTTGGAGAACCAGGCCCCTTCTTCTTCCACCCTAAGCCCCGGGTTTAGGATTCTGATCCAGTCTGGCCTCTGCCCTGGAGCACTGACTCATCAGCTCTTATGTAACTCTGTGTGCTCACCCTGCCTCTGTGGTTTATATAAGACAGATCGGTAAACACACTGCAGGACATCAGGGTTTGGGGACAAGCAAGATGGGCTACAAGTGTGAGCTCACCCTCCATCCCTTCCTAGGACCCCACTCGCACTTGCGGATTTCCTCCTTGAGGCTTGAGCCTGTCTTTGCCTGTACCTGCATGCATGAGGTACCCTGCGTATGCCCAGGTGCCCCTGAGTGTGCCCAGGTGTGCAGACTTGTGCACATGGGTGTACTAGTCATGGGATGGAGGTCACAAACATACATGTTAGTACAGATGTGTCTTTGTTGTCCTTTTTCTTTTTTTACAGTGAGAAAATCCTGCATAGCTTTCCTACTCAGGCTTTCCTATTTCAGCCAATTCAGAAAACTTAACTCTTGATACTCTTGCCCCAGTCACAATTAGCAGCAGATCCATTTTATTATAAGAAACTTCCCGGGGCCGGCCGAGTGGCTCAGTTGGTTAAGAGCTCGCTCAAGAGTGCGAGCTCTGAGCAATAGCGGTTCGAGTCCCGGCCCGAGCTGAGCTGCCGCTGAGCTGCCAACAGGTGACAGGATGGCTCAGCTAAAAAAAAAAAAAAAAGCAAGAAAGAAACTTCTCATAGTGTTCATTCTAAATTGGTTAGCCGGAAATCAGTGTCTAAGTTCCTGTTCCTCCTGAAACTCCCATTTTCTGGTGATTTGGAGTTTGTCTGAGCCGCATTCTTCAGGCCACTGGGTCAGCCCAGGCTCCAGCCACCTGTGCTACACGAAACCAGATACCCAGGTTGCCCAAATCATTAAAGGCTGCTCTCTCCGGATCAGGCTGGGCCACGTGCAAGTGACACCAAACTGTCAATAGAACATTCTCCACATTGGGACTTTTGCACCATAAACACTTTGCAAGTGGTCTCTGGCCCCTGGCCTTTACTGGCCTGTCCTAACTGGACAAACTCTTCCCCTGTCTGAGGCTGAGGTGGGGTGTGGGGATGGGGGAAGGGGACACATCCTGACGGTGATGATTCTGACTACACAGGACGACTCAGGAGCCAGGAAGATCCTGGATCCTTCACAGTCAGTGACCATCTATGCTTTCGTTGAGATACTGCCCCCTTCTATGAACTACTGCTGAAGACATGAGATGATGGTGTTCCCTTTCCCCCTCTTCCCAAAGCCAAGTGAAGCTCAGCCTTCTTCCTTCTCATTAACCTTCACTTCCATCCGTGGCAAAAGAGAGCAAAGGGAGAAATGCATTAGAATTCTCCCCCCAAAATCTTCCAAGCACCAGGGTGCCAGAGTGGGGTTGGCACTAGGGCTAAGGGGATATGTGTACACAGGCTATCCCAAGTCCAGCTTTCTTTCCTCCTGTCCTCCTACCCCCAGTTTCAGCCCCCAGGCCAGGCACTTGCAGACAGCAGAGCCACCTGCTCCCCCTTGGCCATGGAGTACCAAGGTTCTTACAGTTTAACACAGTTTTAAGGAAATTCCACACCTACATACAAGAGGTGCCAGGGTTCTGGTCAGCAGGGGGCATCTTATAATGAGAGGTTCCCAATTTCTAAACACACAGCATTTGGAGGCCATTTTCACCGTTTTAAATGTCCTGGATCCTGACCACAAAACCCTCTCCCAAGCTTACCGCCCCCTCATCCACCTCCCCAAACCAAGGACACTTCAGAATCTACTCACCTACCCTCTACAAGGGTGGGGTCAAAACGAGCCTTGAAATGGAGCTTTGGGCACTATAATTTAATTTTTTAACTAGCTCTAGTTCCCCCTAAAATAAATTTTATTTGTGCACTGTCCTAATGTATTAATTTTGTTGTTTTCCCCTTTGGGACGCAAGTCACTGATTTTTTTTTTCATCTCACAGAATAGATCAAATTTCCCAGTGATTTAATTAATCTCACCAACTGTGCTGCGGTCCTGCAGGACCTGCGCCTCCGTGGCTGGCTGGCTGTCAGTGTAGAAAAACGGTTCCTTTTCTCCGTTTTGGGAGACCGACCTCAGGAACGCCCGATGGCTCCCAGTCCTGTGGCCAGGTGTCCAGTGACCAGCTTAAAGCGATTGCTGCTAGGATACACACCTCCCACTCACCCCGTTCCCACAAACACACACCCCACACACACCCCACAGAGGCTCCGGTGGGGAGCTGCCAGAAGCCCGACGGCTGCAGTTTTATTACAAGATTTATTTTCAAATGCAAAATCAAGTCGCCCACAAGCTCTGCGACTCGGATTCGTCAACAACTCGCCCCCACCACCCTGCTGTATCTCGCCCCCACACCACCCTACCTACATATACACAAATTTACCATGCGAGTGACCTTAGCCCCAAGTTGCATCTCATAACTTCTCCCATCCCGCCCAACTTATTTTGTAAAAAACGGTTAAGAACCCCCATCCTTCTCCCCTTTCCCCAACGCTGATGCGCACACAGGACGGAGCCAGGTGTGACAGTCCCTTCCCGCGCCGCCGCCTCGAGTCCCGCAGTGTCCCGGACCCGGGCGCCCGCGGCAAGTCGTTGCCCCTCGCTCAGAGCCCCGAGAGGGGGTCGAGGGTCCTGGCCTCCCATTTCCGTGTCCTTCCAGCGAGGGCGGGCCCAGGTGGCGCTCAGTACAGCCCTAGGATCGCCGCGCCCACGTCCTTGGAGGGCCGGCGCTCCTGCACCAGAAAGTTGATCATACTCTCCGACTTGATGAGCAGGTTGCAGCCCAAGAAGAAAACGCCGAAGACCACGGTGAGCGACAGCACGCAGAGCACGGCGATTTGAGACACACGCGACACCCACAGACTACGCTCATCGAGCACCAGCCCCGCGGGGACACCATCGCTGGCGGACAGCGGCGCGCCCCCGGGGCAGCAGCCTAGCCACGTGGCCAGCCCGTGGCTGCGGTTCCCTAGGGCTGCCCCGCCGCCGCCGCCCAAGCCGCCCGCCGCCTCCAGACCGCTGTGGTTCAGGAAGGTCCCATTCATAGCCGCTCCGCGCCCGAAGTCTTGGCTCGCGCGTTCTGGGGCGCGCCGGGGGACTCACTGGCGTCCACGCGCTGGGACACACTCGCGTCCACCTGTGAGCGGGGAGAGGCGGGAGACGGAAGATGCCCGCTCCCTGACCCCCTCTCGGGCTGTCTGTCCCTGCGCGAAACGGCGGCCGAGAGGAACCAGCAACAGGCGACGCGGGAGACTAAGCGGGAGAGCGGAGCGTGGGTCGTGGTCGCCTGCTGCAGCGCTCCACCGCCCCGCCGCTCCTCCCCTAGCAACAGCCCCGCCCCGTCTCCTACCCGCCCCTCCCCCAAGCCCCAGGACCTGCAGCAGCCCCAGAGCCCCGAAACAGGAAGGGGTCAGGAGATACCGGCAGCTGGGTCCTCGGGCCTGCGAGTCGACCTCATCTGAGCAGCCGCGGACTGTTCTGAGCTGGAAAAATCGCCCCAAGGCGTCCATTCCGGAATTTGGTGTTTTAAACAGTTACGTTCTTCCTTAAGTCTGTTCTAAACCTCTTCTCTCTTTATTTAAGTCCTAGTAATTCATCCTAGACATCAGAGGAGTAGCTGACCCCCACCCAGCGTTGCCGGTCCTGCGCCGCCCTTCCCCGTCTCTTCCCCTTCCCCCACCTCCTCCCTGTCCCATTTGATTTTTAAAATCTAAGTCATTGGGGGGTTTTCCCCTCCTGTTTTGTAAACTAGTTAGAAAGTATGGATTAGCAAAATGAAAAATGTTGAACCTCATTATTCTACTGCCCGGAGGATGTCTATGTTACTACCTTAGTACAAAAATCTGTCCTGGCCTTTTTCTGTGCGTCTCTCTATATACATGTCCTCGAAATAGGAATGTCCTGTTCGTAATGCTCTTTTGTACATGCTCTTTTGTAACCGTTTGTCATTTAACAGTGTATCTTTTCATAGTAATATTTATTCATCTACAGCAGTGGTTCTGAATTCATAGTAATATTTATTCATCTACAGCAGTGGTTCTGAATTGCTGGATGATTTCTTGAAACCCAGATTGCTGGGCCCAGCCCAGCGTTTCTGAATCAGTAGGTCCGGGTTGGGGCCCTAGAACGTGTGTTTCTAACAAATGGCCAGGCAATGCACTTGGAGAACTACTCAGCTGCAACATAGTATTAATGAGGGAATGGCTTTCCAAGGTATAAACTCCAACGATGAATTTAACCAAAGCCTCTATTTTGGGATATTTGAGTTGTTCGCCTTTTTTTGCATAAGGAACAATATTACTACAAAGAGCCTTGAAACAGTCTTTGAGCAGAAACTGTTATTTTAAAAATTTAGATTATATTTGGAAAAATGGACACGTAGAATCAAAAAATTATATTCTGTCAAATTGCTCTCCACAAATGTCCTAGTTTACACTTCAGCCCTTTCGGGAAGGGGGTATTGTCTCCAATCCTGGTTATTGTCATTATTTTAAAAAAATCTTTGCCTGACTTTATGGGATTGGGGATGGTTTCTCACCTTTGTTAATTTGCATTCTTTGATTGTTGTGAAAGGAAAGCTTTTAGGAGTTTTTGCAATAGTCCAAGCAAAAGACACTGGCTGGAGGCTTGGATTCCAGTGGTGGCAGTGGAGGGAGACACCGTGGGTGGGAAAGGCTTGGCAAATTGGAGTGAGGGGATTCAGAATGTCCTCAGCACTTGAGCATCTCAAAGCTACTCCCCCACCACCATTAGCAGAACACTGATTCATGTGTGTGCATCTGTCCTGGGAAGCTATTAAAATTTTCATTTTAGAGATGAATAAACTGACGCCCGTTCATAGACATGCGTGCATGCACATGCACACACACGGACTCACCTTCCTCAGTCCCGGGAATAGCAGCCTGGCACAGGGGCACACAGAGTTTTCTGGGCAACAGTCTCCTCTGACTACCCCTCAGAACCAGGATAGAACAGGATGGCAACAGGTATTTGGCCCAGACATTTGTCCTCTACTTTTGACCAGTTGGATTTCTTTAGAGAAATGCCCAGTTATGTCCACCTTTCTCCTGAGACCAACGTCTGACCTTTGATATACCCTGGACTTGGAGCCTATGCCCTTGACTCCATTCAGCTGAGGTCAGGCTGTCTACTGCCCAGAAAAGGGAAGTGTGAATAAAAGTGGGGTGGAAGGGCCTGTCTACCTCCACAAGAGGCTGTGAGGAGGCTGATGGTTGGCCTTTCCTTTATTAAGCACATATAATAATATGCTCAGTACATTAAATATACACCCTCATTCAATTCTTACACCAGCCCTTGGGTTCCACTGGGTTGTCCCCTTGACATAAGGAAACAGGCTCGGAGTGAGTAGTTGACCTACCCAAGGCCACACAGCTAGTTAAACATCAGAACCAGAGTTTGAGCCCAGATCTGTCCTGTTCCAAAGCTGGATACCTGGGGGGGGGGGGGGAGATGTTGTCCATTACCTGGGAGCAGAAAAGGAGAGAGAGAACTTGGGCTTGTGGAAATAAACAAAGACTGCCCAAATAAAAACACGCAAAGGCTATTTATTCAGAACTTGCTATAGAGCAAGGGAGAGAGCTACCATCATTTGAGTTTGGCAGACACTCAAAGGCAGGCAGAGGAGTGGGGAAGCTTTATGGTGGGAAAAAGGGAGGGCTTCAGGTTTGGCTTGATTAAGGCTGTCGGCCGGCAGAAGCTGGAGGTGGGCTAACGCAGAGCGAGGCATCCCATGTGATTAGTTAGGGCAGCATAGTTGATGTTCTCCAGGTTGTCCTATGTTAGGAGAACGAGCAAAATTAGGGAAGCTGTCAGTCATTGATCAAGCGCTGGCCATTTGGGCTGATTGCTACAGGAATTGTGGTCTGTCTTCCTGGGCTGTTGCTGCAGGTCAGAATTCTATTTTTATATATGGTCTGGCCATTTTCTGTTTGTATATTCAGTCTCTCATACTCCTCCCCAGTGCTGGGGGGTGGGGAGGGGGCCTGCCTGGCCCGGACCCAGCCCAGTGCTCCCTAACCGATGCTCCCTCCTGCTCTCCCTTCTGCTCTTTCTGGAGCCACTGGTCCCAGCAAGTCTGTTTGCTGTTTGATGTGCATTAACTCCTAATTCTTATAATAACCCTGAAAGATAAGTGTATTTGTCATTCATTGCCACACCCAACTAAGCTGCTTCCTGATTCCTGGCCCTCAGAAACTCTGTGAGATAATAAATATGTGCTAAATTTACTAAAAGAGTTCCATTGTTAAACAGTGCACCCTGCATCCCCCTCTGGGAAATTCACAAGGTGTTGGCCAGAGTCATAGCCATCTGAAGGCTTGGCTGGGGTTGGCAGATTGGTTTCCAGCATGAACCCTCTGACAGGGCTGTGGTCTCAAGGCCTCAGTTCCTGGCCATTTAGACCTTCCCATAGGGCTGCATGAGTGTCCTCTTGACATAGCAGCTGGCTTCCCTCAGAGTTATTCTTGAAGAACGTGCTGGCAGGTGAGCAACTGGTGGTAGGGAGAGGGACAGGAGAGTGAGGTTGCAGAGTGAAACATGTTAGCTATCATGATTTAATCTTCACAGTTAAGCCTTAGAGACAGAAATCAATAGCTCCATTTGGCAGATGAGAAAAGGGAGTCCTCAGGAAAATCTTGCCTGAGGTCACAGAGCTGATAAGTGCCACAGCCAGGATTTAGGCCCTTAGCTGCCTTCTAACCTAGTCCAAGTTCTTTCTAGGACTTCCCGTTTCTGAGGGGGGGGGCTGCTTCGTTGTTAGGGAAAGAATCCCCCCACCCCAGCCCTGGGCAAGGCCTCAGGAGCCTATCAGCTGGGCTGCCTCCCTACTCTAAAGACAAGGAAGCCAGGGCCTCTGGGCCCAGCTGCCACCCACACAGGACTATTTTTACCCTTCACCTCAGTGACAAGTCTGCATCTCCCAGCTCTGGAAAGGCCATCTGGGCATTCTGGCCGCCTCAGGAAGAGCCTCTACCTGGAGGCTACCATTTGTGCTCTACTGTCCCCACAGCTGTTTCTAGTTGAACCTTTAGCTCTCTGGCTTGCTTGGTCAGTAAGGTACCTCCCTGCCCTATATTCAGAAGTGAATAAAACCTCCCTAATTACTGGCACTTGCTGGATAGACCTACCTGAACTAAAATATTTACATTTGTAGATATTTTAAGTTGTTCACATTTCAAACAAGTTTAATGCAATACTTGATGCATGAGCTGTTTTAATGATGATATAAGAATGATTCGATTTGCTTATTCAACTGTACACACACACACGAAAAATGTAAATATGACTATTGTAAGACAGCATACTTCAGGGGGCCCAATTTATTGGGTTGTTGGAAAAGTCATGACGCATTTTTGCGATGAAAAACAGAAAAAATACGTCATGACTTTTCCGACAACCCAATATTTTCTGTAGTGGTTTAAAACAACTCCTTTAGGCTCCTGTTCACACTATTCATTTGGCAAATTCTTCCTGGAACGGGCAAAGGTTGCCTTCTTCCAGGTTCCTGTCCAAACGATCTCACATTTCACAGGGGCAAACTTCATAATGTTTTCCTGCGTCTGGTACAGAATCTAAATAAAAATGGATTGCCCTGTTCAGGCCCCTAGGAGAGACAGATAGAGAGCAGGAAAGCCCCCCCCCCCTCCGGCAGTTCAGGCCAAGGGGGCTTTACCCAGAGCAGCAGGTAAAAGGCCTCAGATAGATATCACAGGTATGGAATTTCCCAACCCCCCTCCTGCTGCCTGTCAATGTGTGTTTTAGAGAATACCTGGATTTCACAGATTTGGGATCTGTTTCTGCCTCTGCCACTAATTGGCTATGACCTTGAACAAGTCAGCCATCCTTTCTGGACCTTAATTTGCTCATCTGTAAAGCAAGGGGACTAGATCAGATAACCTTCCATAAAACTTTATTTATAAAAACAGGTAGTGGGGGGGGCGGCCAAGTGGCGCGATGGTTAAGAACTGGTTTGGGACGCCAGAGGGCCCCACCCAGTTCAGATCCCACATATGAGGGCCGGTGACACTGCCCTCCACAGCTAAGATGCTGAACAACAGCTCAACCTGGAGCTGGGCTGCTGTGAGCCGGCGACGACGGAGGCTGCAGCCCCTGTGGCAGTGGGTTGCCATGGGCTACCGTACTAGCCAGCAGCCAGCGTGAATGGCCAGCAGCCACTGTGAGCGGCTGTCCAGAAGCCAGCGACTGATCTACCTTGCCCGGGAAGAGCGCAATGATTGTGCCAACTTGGGCTAGTGAAGCAACGTCCTCCACAACTAGACTGAAGAACAAAACAACAACTTGTTTGTTCCCCTTC